AGAGTTGGTGGCAAATCATGAGATGGCATCAGAGAGCATGTACACCCTCCCTCCGTCCCTCCCCAAACTAAGACTTAATATTACCATGTTCTGATTTTGGACACCCTTAGCAAAATTCCAGTATGGTCCTGGCATCCTTTGGAGAGTGGGAATCATCGTTCAAAACCCGTTGAAAATGCTGGCTGCCTGTTCAGCTGTCTACAATGTTTGGATGTGTTAGCATTGACCCTGGCAACTCAGTTTTGAGCCATCGTCAAGCCATCCTGGCAACCTTCTTGAAGGGACAGCTGGCAATTTAAAGTGCTGTTAATTAGACTTGGTTTGTGAATGAAATTGCATGCTGTGCCATGAGCCTTTTCACCGAGGTGTTCTGACACACTTCTCCACACAAGGGTTTTCCAAATCATCATAACGCACTTCAGCTAGATGGAGTTGCAGGGGTCCTCAGGAAAATATAACACTGCCAGGAAACAGGAAATAGGAAATTCTCGGCATATTGAATCCACATTTTAATTTGGGACTCTTCAGGCACTAATTTATGGAATCCTGTTAAGAACAGCTGAATCTGTCCATTTTGGTTTCTCATTTTTCAAATCTCAAGTTCTCCACATTTCCACACCAGTTTGCAGTGTGTTCTTATCTTTTTGAAGTGTCCATGAAAATTCACCAGAATTTTAGTGCAGATTTCTTCTAATATAAACTTTTGCAGGCAATTTTCCTTCTCACACACATTTTTGCAGATCGTGTCCTTTCTAAAAGAGGGCATGTGTTGCGGTGAGACCTGGAGACTGACCTCCTGTGTTGTGGGTGGGTGAGATTGGACAGCCACAACACCTGACTGGTAGGTCCCTCGTTGTTGGGTTCAATCTGGCCAATGGGACGCAGTCCAAACGGATCGAGGGACCTATATATACCCATGCGCATGACCCAGAGCTTCCTCTTTCGGCTCGTGCATTCGGAACACCCGCCCACCTCTCCCTACTTTTGGGGTCTTTTGCGATTGACCTTGCTGTGCTGTTGCGTGTCATTGGGACAGGGGCACGGCAGGAATTTCCCCCACTTGGCTGATTGGCTGTTGCCATTTGGGTTTCGCCTGCCGCGGAGCAAATCGTCCAAACTTGTAAGGTTGCAGATAGGCTCTGGTTCAGGTGATAGGGATGGGAGAACGCTCTTGCCATCCCTATGTGAAGGGTATTCCGTTAAAGGAATCCAGGGATTCAACTGGTTTGGTCAACCCCCGAGAGGGGGTTGTGCCCTTGCCTGAGTCCAGGGGGGCATCTGGGTGGTGAACATAGTCTGTTCCCGGCTTTTTGCCTACCCAGATGTTCACCCTCGGCTGACCTATGCTGGTGCCCTGGGTCAGCGCTGCCTGCAAGGGTGCAGGGAGTTAGTTGAACCAGAGTCTATGCAACCACTCACCTTCTGTGATCAATAAAGTTGTGGCCTAAATTCTGCCAAAAACCAAAACTAAAATTTGAGTCAAGTGTGTCTTAATTTTTTTAGGGCGGCGGTCTCTGGGTCTGAACATGCAAAGCAATGTCCCCTAACACATAGCAATCTTGTATGTTGTTTTTCACTCTAATATGCATTTCAATTAACACTTTACTGTAGTCTATGCATTTTTGTGCACATTTCTAGAATGGAGCACTACAGATTTCAACAGTTGTCTAATGTTCAATTCATGTATTGTTTGGGGAAATGAGAATTAGGTAGGCTTATCTTTAAATGCAAACATAACCATTAACATAAGAAGAGCCTGCTGGATCAGGCCAATGGCCCATCTAGTCCATCATCCTCTTCTCAGAGTGGCCAAGCAGATGCCTTTGAGAAGCCCAAAGGCAGAACATGAAAATTGTTGATTGGTAAAATCAAAAACATGTTAGGAGATAATTTGCAAGCCCCGCTCCCTGATATGTTGACTGCCTAGGGGTCTGCAAAGGTTTCTCAAAGGGGAGTTGCTTCACCCACTTGATCACTTTGCTTGTTCTTTTCTTCAACCTTTCCAACTCTACAATATCTTTTTTGAGGTAAGGGCACCAGAACTGCACACAGTATTCCAATACGTGGTCTCTGATGCCCATTATGAGAATGACCACCCCCCCCACACTGTTTAGCCCCTTCCAACTATTGCCTTTTCAAGCAGGGTCACAAGAGAGTAGACCAACTGACCCCAGTTAACACTTAGTGGACTCCAGCTCCCATCAGCCTCAGACATTATCAGTGGTTAGGGAACTCTGTATGTGTAGCTCTGATTGGATAGTTATAGCACCAACCAGCTGTTGGGGTGGAACAGAAAGAGCTGGGAGAGGGCTGAATCCGGCTTTCTGAACAGCTGGTTGCAGTATCGCCACATTTTTTTCTTTCCCACTTTTCAATTATTTTTATTGAGAGATAAATAGTAATATAGCAAAACAAGTAACAAATAGCATATCAGATACAAGAAAACACAAACATTGTTTTTTGCAAAAGCATTTCAGAGATATTTTTTGCAGGGAATGTTCATCTTTGGCGAAGGCATTACCCTTATGTTTTTACAATGTTCCCAATACAATGTTCAGTTCAGCATTTGTTTTTATTACAGTTTTATTACACCAGTACATAAAAAATGGCCATGATCGTTAATTTGTCTCCCTTCTCTTACTCTCAGTGTCTTAGTTAATTTCCTCATTTGGACACTGTCCCAGACCCTCATAATTCAACCTCCCATAACGAAAGCATTACTTCCTCCCCATGTGAAACTAATTGCCAAACTGGCTGCCTTCAGGAAGTGCTTTATCCCCTTTTGCATACCCCAATAATAATAATAATAATAATAATAATAATAATAATAAACTAATGCATTTATCGGTAGCACATATCCTATTATATACTCCATTTCTTTTAATATCGCTATACAGAAAGGTTTTGTTTTGGGACATGACCATGTAGTATATCAGCTTTTGCTGTTTTGTGTTTCCCGCATAAATTATGTGATTTTTAGGATATTAAATTAAATCTAGCTGAGACTGTGTACCATCTGAAAAAGAGTTTGTAACTTTTTTCTTTGTGATTTATGGTTTGATGGGGAAGATGCTCCCATTATGCAAAGCACCTCACTCAGTTGGTAGAGCATGAGACTCTTAATCTTGGGGTCATTGGTTTGAGCCATACACTGGGCAAAGGATTCCTGCATTTCAGGGTTGGACTAGATGACCCCTGAGGTACCTTCCAACTTGACAATTCTATGATTAGCAGGTCCAGTTTTTCTTGTCCCTTTACCATCTGTTGTCTGAACATATTTATGGACTTGGAGCTCTGATAGCAGAGCTGGGGGAACACAGTACTGTTTTGCTAGTTACTGTAATAAATATATGGTTTTAGTGACTAACTGCACTCTACAAGGATCTACAGCAAGTTTGTGTGAAGTGCTGTTAGATATATAGATGATGATAGATAGATAGATAGATAGATAGATAGATAGATAGATAGATGATAGATATAATGCACACATGCATGCACACACATTTTTCACCATAACATATTTTATGTTTCAGTCGCTATTCTTCCATATATTAGAAATTAATTCCTAGCCCTTCTAAGGAATTTATTCTTCCTTCTCTATGTTAATAGAGGCCCAGCTCCTGCCCCTGAACTAGGCCAGCAGCTCTGGTTTTCTGGTTAGTTCCTGCTTAGACTACTGCAATGCCCTCTATGTGGGGCTACCTTTGAAGGTGACTCGGAAACTACCAGCTGCCAGACTGGTGACTGGGAGCAGCTGCCGGGACCATATAACATTGGTCCTAAAGGATCTTCACTGGGTCCCAGTACATTTCCAAGCATAATTCGCAGTGCTGGTGCTGACATTTAGAGCCCTAGACAGTTTGGTCCTACATACCTGAAAGAGAGCTTCCACCCCCATCGTTCAGCCTGGACACTGAGGTCCCGCTCCAAGGGTCTTCTTGCAGTTTCCTCATTGCGAGAGGTGAAGTTACAGGGAACCAGGCAGAGGGCAATCTCATTAGTTATGCCCACCCTGTGGAACGCCATCCTATCAGATGTCAAGGAGATGAACCATCATATGACTTTTCGTAGGCATCTGAAGGTAGTTCTGTTTTGGGAAGCTTTTAATATTTGATGTTTAGTTGTGCTCCTTATATTTTGTTGTTGTTCATAGTATATGGAGCAACACAGTAATATGGACAGGATACAATAAATTTGTTGTTGCTGTTGCTGCTGTTGTTGTTACAACAGTTTAGAAATTAGTCCCTGAGTTTTTATTGATATTTTCTTCTTCCCTCCCTGTCCACTTTCCCTTGTGTGTCATGGTTATTGACAGTTCTTCTTTAATATAAAAAAGGGTGCCAGTACTGCACACCATTGAGTACCGCCAGAAAAAGACACTGCTTATACATCACATGTCTAAAATGGAAATCAATCCAGGGAATACAATTTAGCCACCAGGATATTTTAAGCTTGTGCATTGGTACCTCGGGTTACAGACGCTTCAGGTTACAGACTCCGCTTACCCAGAAATAGTACCTCGGGTTAAGAACTTTGCTTCAGGATGAGAAGAGAAATCACGCAGCAGCAGCGCGGTGGCAGCAGGAGGCCCCATTAGCTAAAGTGGTGCTTCAGGTTAAGAACAGTTTTAGGTTAAGAACTGACCTCCAGAACAAATTAAGTTCTTAACCCGAGGTACCACTGTATCTGATTGTATACACTTAGCTTAAGTGTAGCAGCCAAACTGGTTCATGCAATAGATTGTTGTTCTCCCAAAGAACATGACGATATGGAGCATGGACAAAAAAGCAACAGTTGTTGCTCAGGACCTGCTGATGGCTCAAGATTAGGGATGAGGGAGAAAGACCTCTAAATTCATATTTTAATGTGGATCCACTTAATTTGTACTCCTTGAACCAATCAACAACTAGAAACATAGCAATCCATAAAAAATTAGACTTTTTGATTTGGCTAATCTACAAAAAGGCATCTACAGAAATGTGTATATGAGGGGAGCTTGCGCATGACAAAATCAGTCAGTAGAGCATGAGACTGTTAATCACAGAGCCATGGGTTCAAGCCCCAGGTTGGGCAAAAGATTCCTGCATTACAGGGGATTGGACTAGATGACCACTGTGGTTCCTTCCAGTACTACAATTCTAGGATTCTATTAGAGCAAGCAGCTCCCCCCCCCCCAAATTGATACAGAAATTCGGGCCAACTCAATTTAAGACTGGAAAAATGAGAAACCCAAACTGAGAGATTCTTCTGTCCTTACTCGCGATGAGCAAATATGGCACAATATCCACTCTGAAAGGGCATGTGAAAGATGGGAACAGAATCTAAGACAAATACGGTGTGGGTCCGAAAGGAGGTGGTTGGCAAAGGGGAGAAGATAAAAGCAGCACCCAATGTTTTGATAAGGGGGTATCTTTCTTTCACATCATCTTCAGTGTGACCCACGGAGCCCTATTGGCACATCCCTTGCTTCTCTGGTTGGCCACCAGCCATAGGCAAGCAACAAACTGGGTAACTATAAGAGGTGATTAGGAATAAATAGAAGTGTCTGGGCAGCTTTGAATTAAGCGCTTATTTCAGAAACAGGAAACTTCTCTTTGCCCAAAGTCTGTATTTCACCATAGGCAACCTTCTAGGTCAGCATTATAGTGGTAGGGAGAGTCAGAAGCAAAAGTGGGTAGGGCCAGAGGCAAAAAAAAGTGGCCAGAGGAAAGGATTTAACTCTTACCTTTGTAGAGTAGGCAGGCCTAGCCTTACTATTTGGCAGAGTGAAGCAACTGCTTCAGGCAGCAGATACCAGGGGTCAGCAACAACAGCCATGGATCGTGAGCCCCCTCATCATTCCCTTCTATTGGAGATCAGAGCTCCATGTCCTACACAGCTTGCCATGCTCCTCTACGTTACTCTGCTGCCCCTGGGTACTGAGGGGTGAGGAGCGGAATGTTGTCCCATTGCCAGTGGTGAGATATGAGTCAGGAGAAAGCCTTTGACAATATTTCTTGGAATTTTATGAAGAAGAATCTTCAGGGTATGGGGGTAGGCCAAGGTTTTGAGAATGGTATAAGTGCAATTTATTCAGAACAAAAGGCTAAACTAATTGTAAATAACGTTGTGACGGAAGAACTGAAAATTGAAAAAGGGACACGACAAGGTTGCCCAATTTCCCCACTTCTTTTTATTTCGGTCCTGGAGGTTCTGCTGAATATGATTAGAAGGGACCAGATGGTTAAAGGTATACAGGTCGGAACTAAACACTATAAATTGAGAGCATTTGCAGATGACTTAGTATTGACGTTACAGGAGCCAGAATCTAGTACAAAAAGGGTTTTAGAACTGATTCAAGAATTTGGTCAAGTGGCAGGATTTAAATTGAACAAGTCAAAAACCAAGGTTTTAGAGAAAAATTTAACACCGTTTGAAAGAGAGAGGTTTCAGAATGAGACAGGTTTAACAGTGGTTAAGAAAGTTAAATACTTGGGGATTAATATGACAGCAAAAATGGGAATTTATTTAAAGATAACTATGAAAAATGTTGGTCAGAAGTGAAAAAGATTTAGAAATTTGGTCAAATTTGAAGCTTTCACTGCTAGGCCGTATTGCTGCGATAAAGATGAATGTATTGCCCAGAATGTTGTTTTTGTTTCAAACTTTGCAGATTGTGGACAAAATGGATTGTTTCAAGAGGTGGCAGAAAGATATTTCTAAATTTGTCTGGCAGGGCAAGAAACCCAGAATAAAATTTAAAATATTAACGGATGCAAAGGAAAGAGGTGGATTTGCCCTACCAGACCTTAAACTGTACTATGAATCAGCAGCCTTTGCTGGTTGAAAGAATGGCTACTTCTTGAAAACACTGACATTTTGGATCTAGAAGGTTTTAATAATGTATTTGGATGGCATGCATATTTATGGTATGATAAGGTCAAAGCACATAAAGCATTTAAAAACCACATTGTCAGGAAAGCGTTGTTTAATGTTTGGATAAGATATAAGGATTTGTTAGAAAATAAAACCCCAAGGTGGCTGTCACCAATGGAAGCGAAAGCCTTGAAAAAGGTCAATATGGAGGTCAAATGGCCGAAATATTGGGAAATTTTGGAACAAGACGGAGATAGACTGAAATTGCAGAGTTTTGAAAAACTAAAAACAAAGTGCGAGACTGGCTTCATTATTATCAAATAATGGAGGTATTTAAATTGGACAGGAAAATTGGCTTCCAGGTGGAAAGATCCAAATTAGAAACAGAATTGTTAGAACCCAATACTAAGAATTTGTCAAGAATGTATAACTTGCTGCTGAAATGGAATACTCAAGATGAAACGGTAAAATCGGCTATGATTAAATGGGCACAGGACGTTGGTCATAACATTATGTTTGCTGACTGGGAACAGTTATGGACCACAGGTATGAAATTTACGGCATGTAATGCCTTAAGAGAGAATATTATGAAAATGATATACAGGTGGTACATAACCCCAGTCAAGCTTGCGAAAATCTATCACTTGCCCGATAACAAATGTTGGAAATGTAAAGAAATTGAAGGTACATTTTTTCACCTTTGGTGGACGTGCCCAAAGATTAAGGCTTTCTGGGAAATGATATATAATGAATTGAAAAAGGTATTTAAGTATACCTTCTTGAAGAAACCAGAGGCCTTTCTCCTGGGCATAGTGGGCCAAATGGTGTTAAAAAGGATAGAACTTTCTTTATGTATGCAACAACAGCAGCAAGAATACTCATCGCAAAGTATTGGAAGACACAAGAACTTCCCACGCTGGAGGAATGGCAGATGAAACTTATGGACTATATGGAATTGGCGGAAATGACTGGCAGAATCCGTGACCAGGGAGAAGAGTCGATGGAGGAAGACTGGAAGAAATTCAAAGACTATCTTCAGAAACACTGCAAAATTAAGGAATGTTAGAGTGATGTTGGACTGAAAATAAGTGGTTTCCAGCTGCATAGGTTAAAGTTAAGGATAGATTAAGATTAAAGATTAAGATTAAAGAAGTTTAAAGAAATGGAAATTTGATTTTAAAAGGGAAAACTTTAAAGTTACAGGATATTAAGATCAAGGATTAGGTTTAAAAGAGTTGAAGTTATATATTTTAACATTTTATTAAATTAAAGATTGGGATTAAAAAGTGGAAAAGAAACTGCTGGATAAATAAATGTGGATTGGAATACAAAAGAGGGAGGTATGAGGAAGTCCAGAAAATAAGTAACTTAAAATTGGTAATGGAAAAGAGAGTTCGTTATTAATTGTTTTGTGTTTATATTGTTAAGTTTTGTATTGTTTTTTGTGTGTGTTGTTTTTCTTTTTTGTTTGTTTAAAAACTTAATAAAAAAATTATTAAAAAAAAAAAAGAGATATGAGTCAATGGCTGGTCTAGCCAACTTCTGTACATGGAGCAGAGGTGAGGAGGCCATGTTGTCTTTTCCTTGTTGACCAAAATGTCTTTGGTCAGCTCTGACAATAGGCTACATTCCAGCCACCACACACAAGCCAAAGGCTTCTACAAAGCATCACCAGGCAAGGATGGATGGACTGTCACAGCTTAAGGGCACATTCCAGTCAGGCAGAAACATTTGAAGAGGTTGAGCAGGACTAGTGAGGGACCTGGGGAAAGGAGGAAGATGCTCAAAGGATCACAATGGGCCCATAATGGACATTAGAAAGAAATAGCCACTACATTTCCCCAAGTCCAAAAATCAATACAGATTTTCTTCTATTGAAATCAACCTCTCGCTTACCTTCCACTGTCTCTCGTGTGTGAAATAAACACAACTTGACTCAATTGCTCTAGCCCAGTGGTTCCCAAAGTGGATGGCACCACCCCTTGGGATTGGTGGGATTGCGTAGGGCTGCATTAAGAGCCAAGGGGGCAGCAAGGAGGTCCTGGAGATGTACCTGACTATCAGACTTTGAAAAGCTTGTCTCACTGGATCAAGTTAATCAATTCTGTTGAATTAATTAAACTAAATAGTTTTAATTGGATTTTGAAAAGATGTGCAATTAATTGTTACTGTTTGAATTTTATTGTGCTATTATCTTCCTTAGTGGGTCATCCGAAACCGCTATTCTGAATAATGATTTTTATAGGGTGGGGGCACTAGGGGTGAATTTATTGAACCAAGAGAGCTGTGGCACAAAAATTTTTGGGAACTGCTCTAGCCCATTTCAGCTGCTCATGTTAATTAAAGCAGCCCTCATTAATCTTCTTTCCTAGCTGCCGGGCAGGTGGCTAAATTACAGGTGTCTTCACTGGCTTCCTGCAGAGGCAGCTCCTCTAATAGAATTCACTGCTAAGTATTCTCAGGCAGCCAATCATCTCTGCCCTACATGGTTTCCTCAATGAAAATCACAGAGCTGAACTGACAACATTGCGAACTTAATAGATTAGCGTAGTATGGCACCGTTTTGAAGTCAATGTCTGATATGCATTCATTGGCATCCCTGTGGCTTGTTTTGCAGTTGTAAAAGCCAAAGTGCTTAAGTCCAGGAACCACATTCCCTCTTAGGCAACTTTCCAGGGGCTGCACAAAAGTGGCGAGCAGGGCCAGTGGCAAAAATTGGATGGAGCAACTGCCTCCAAACCCTTATGAAATATATTGTTCGGGTTGTTTAAATGCAAACATTTGTATTCTTAAGGACTGCAATGGAACCACCCTGAGACCTGTGGGTATAGGGCAGTATACACATTTAACAAATGATGTTGATGTTGTTGATGATGATTACAATGCTAAGGAAGGCACATCTAGCAATGTTGCCCAAACTGGCAGTGCCTGGCTTGGAAATATGAACCTTGGGGGCTTGTAAAACTGACTTCAAATATGAGACAACCTTTAAGACCACATTGTTCTTCTCCCATTCAAATTTTAGTCTGAACTGGGGCACAGATCAGCTGCTTTCCTACTCACATCCACCCTCCCTCCTAGCTTGCAGCCCCTTTCACATTCACACACAATCCTCCAGGCCCCTTCTTCTTTCCTTCTTTCCTTTCACCTCCTTTCCTAGCTGTTGCTCCAACATCATACCCTCCCACCCTTTTCTGATGAAAATACAGTGGTACCTG